AAAACTAGGAGGAGGGAACGAGGGCACAGGAGACGAAGGATACACTTCATTAATCCGGATCAAGATGGATGGAAAAGGAAAAACTGGTGTTGGTGGGAGAAACCATTAGATTCGGATTTAATAAGGCTACAGGCTGAAACACTTGCGTAAAATTTCTCTCTCAAACACACACGTCTCCCTGGGCTTGTGAAAACGTTAGCAGTTGGCTTGCAGATTCTGGTTTGTCAGTTCTGTTTCTCCCTGTGTGGGCACCCCTGGGCAGTGTGTCTCCTTGTCTGGCGGAGGCAGGGAGAGGGGAAAGGTTTCCCAAAGGACTCATTCACTGGGACAAGCAGCGCTCCCACTCCCAGTCGTTTGAACGGGAGCGAGGGCTGCGCCGGGTCTGGATCCAGCCGCCAAGCAGGCAACTCGGGAGAAAGTTCCCGAGTTCCACGCCGAGGAACAAAGTTGCAAACCCCAATTCATTTTTCAGATCGCTCCTTCCTGAGAAATCAAATGTCTGGCTTTTTATTCTCCATCTCCCCCCACCCCCTCTTCCCTTTGCCCTCCTTTCCCCGCTTCCACCATGGCCCAATTCATCAACTCCGAGCAGAGAACGAACCCTAATTTGTGTTGCAAATAGGCGAACCTATGTTTGCCACGGGACGCTCGTAAAAATGTCAGGGCGAGAAATATGGAAGCGGTTTTGCTTCCCCGGCTTGAGTTCAGTAGGGCCCTTATATGGAAGCAGCAATCCGCCCCACTCCCTACCAAACGCCTCCATTCTTCCTGAACAGCTGGGAGTGGTATCGGCCCTGTCTGCTTCCCGGGGCCCTGGAAGTACCGAGTTGCCCGGCCCAGAGACCAAGGCTAGATCATATTAGCCTTCCAGAAGAAGGGAGCTTTGAAATCCGTCATCTGACGAGGCAGATGTGGGAGGCATGCGGACCACCACTTTAAGCGCGCGCGCAATATCCGCCAAGCATCTGCACCTGATGCGCGCTTCAAGTCTTCCTTGCTACGGGAGGGCGAGACAGGCGACCACAGGCGCAGCTTGGGTGTCTACGAGGTCTTACTTCTGTTTAAGAAAGGGTGCAAGAGGGAGCCTGGAGAAAATTGTTAGTAATGGGGATTACCGCCTCCGAAGACACCAGCAACAACAATACAGTAGTTACAAATCGATCAAATGATGCTGATGCTTTGAGATCCAAGGAAATTAGCTTTCCTTCAGGGCTATTGGAAATAGATTAAATAGTCACCCTATTTTGCCGGCATTACCATGAGATTTGCCAGAGAAATATCTCTGGGAAGTATCATCATCATCCAAACACTCTAGTGAACGTGGAAGAAACGTTAATTTGGAATTAAATTCCACCAGTTTAAACGCAATTTCTTCCTACAGTAATGCATTCACGATCTTTCACGCTACAAGAGCGTGATAAGTCTGTCTGCACTGTTCTATGCCAACGATTTCGCACGGGTCTATTTTCCCCAGAAACTGCGATTGGTAGGAGAGGATAGACACGTGGCGTGATCTTCACACTTGACTGTGTAGAGAAAACACTTTAAGTGCTTTGCACAGAAGTGGTACTTAGGGATGGCAGGCGGGTGGGGCTTGGGGCACATGATAAGAATCTTCACCCCTGTGAGTGAAATCCTCCCACCTGGACCATTTCTGGCGGTGGTCTTTTCGGAGATAGCAAAAGAAAACAGAAGAGTAGCCCTCAAATAAAATAAACATAAGAAGAAAAGGAATGACCTTCAGATAGATAGGAAGAAGAAATGTTGGACAATAAAAATGGCGGGGCACCTGTTTCAAGGTCACTTCCTCTCCTTCTCTCTCTGCTTTTTTGGTACCTCCAGAGAACCAAAGTGGTTTGGAACTTTGGTGGTTTGCATTGATTTCAACAATCGCATCTCCCTTTTCGTCCATGCCATACCACCTTTCCATCAAGTGCCTTACTCCAGATCTCCTAATGCAGATCAGTGACCTCCGACCCACCTGCCTTAACCGACTTAAAAGCGGGAGCTTGTTTTGTTGTTGCCCCAACTCGCTTTCTCCGCTAGGTACAACACGGTAGCAAAGTGAATTGTGTTGGGCGTCGCTTCTTACGGAGTTGTTGGCGGAATACAAACGAGACATCCACCAAATATGCCTTCCCCTGTGTTCCTTGGAGGAAGGGCCAGGTGGCAAATCTACGTGGCTGTATTTGTGACCAGGTTCAAGAAGGTGAGGTTAGGATCGGGCCCTGGGTTGCCCCCTCCTGGTCCAGAAGCGCCTTCCGCCATGGATGCTCCAGGAGCGCAGTTTCCGTGCGTGCGTGCGCGCGCGCGCGCCATTCTTCGCTTTCCACATTGATCCTCGATTTCCGTAGCTGATTCCCTCGCGTCTGATTGGTTTTTGCGCGCAGGCTTGACGACTCCTTCCTTCTGATCTAGGGAAGCCCGCGGCCCCTTCGCTTGTTGAACCAGCTCTCAGCTGGGCGTGGGGTGGGGGTGGGGAGCAAGACCCCTCGTAAACGTCAGGAGGCCCGTCGACTGCGCCGAGATCAAACGATCAATCCTAGTTCCTCCAGATAATTATTTTAAAATTCACGCCGGAATTGATCTCCTTTTAAAAAGCGCTTTTATTAATTGTTTCCTCTCCCTCTCCTCCTCTCTTCCTTGGTGGAGGTGGCTGAGGCTGCTGTTTATGCGCACCGGCGGATTAATTAAAAACAGCCTCCGGGGAGATGTGGAGAAAGAGAGAGCGGGAGGGTGCGCGCGCGCGTTGTTTTAGGGTCCTGTTAATGATTTAGAGCCATCCGGAAAGTTTCTTGCTCCCCGATCCGAAACGCAGAAGGCGGAACGGAGTGGCATTTTGCACTTGCAAATCAAAGATGCACGACGCAGCGCGATCCTATGCGCGCTTACTCGGAAGTGTGCACGAGGGTCGCAGCTTCAGAAGGAAGGGGGGAGGAGGAGAGGGCCGTGCTAGACAGGAAACAATAATTCAATGCCCCAACAAGATTTGTTAAAATTGGAGACGAGGCAAAGGGGAGGCGACGCGGTGCACGCAGCTTCATTAATCAATTCTCCCTTTAAGGACGCCAGACCAGAAGAGGCGATTAGAACATTCTTGCCTGGTGTTTGTGGCACGCTTTAGGTGGGAAAATCTGGTGTTTTTAAGGCACCAGAATGGACCGGATACACCCCGCTGGATCCTTTAACAATTGTCATCAGTCTGTGAAAGGCTAAATCCTTTGAGATTTGAGTTGTAATCGTACATTCTCCCCACCCCACCCCCCAGACACACACAAAGAGGAGGGGAAACAACCAACTAGAAATTCCCATCCATCGCTGCACATTTGCCAATATGTGCAAATAAACGTCATTTTATGGAGACGGGCTTTGATGCCGACAGTGGGGATGAAGATGCCAGCATCCGAGTGAGAAAATGTGATTTACCTTACGGAATAAAAATCCCTTGGCATTTTACTTGCGAGTAAGAGCGCCAGACGAATGTTCACTTGGAAATTAGTGCCGCTGAATTTAATATAATGACTTGTTTCCGGGTAAACACGTTTAGGATTTTCCCAATTCCAATTACGTTTACAGTACTAAGGAGCAGCGGGGTGGGTGGGTTTACTTCTGAGGAAACATGCATAACACCTAAGCTGCTTCTTTTTTTAAAATGAGTTTTCTTTTTAAAAGGAGTTCGCCCTAAGCACAACGGAAGTAAGAACAGTCTGCAAGGCTGCAGTTGGAGAAACCAGCCGGATTCCTGCTTTTAGTCTGACAGCACGTGTTTGGATGTGTGTGTGTAATTCGAAATAAATAGCTTTAATCCTGTTCATAGGTACGAGCATTCTTTTTTTGCAGATAGTCCCAAGAATCCCCCATGGCAAATTGGCATAACTGTCGATTCGATCGACAGACACACAGAGACAGACTCATCCAGCATTTCATCTTGCCGGGCGAGAGAGCAGAGTTTAGAAATCTCAACATCTCCCGGCGCTTTGAAGTCTAAGGCTGCTGCCTGTCACCCACTTTCCACGCACTTTAACAGTGGTACTTCGGGTTACAGACGCTTCAGGTTACAGACTCCGCTAACCCAGAAATAGTACCTCGGGTTAAGAACTTTGCTTCAGGATGAGAACAGAAATCGCGCAGCAACAGCAGGAGGCCCCATCAGCTAAAGTGGTGCTTCAGGTTAAGAACAGTTTCAGGTTAAGAACGGACCTCCGGAACGAATTAAGTTCTTAACCCGAGGTACCACTGTACTTGGGAACAAGTTCCACTGAACTCCCCAGTAGACTTCGATGTCAGAAACCCACCCCATCCATTCTGGCGTAAGCCTTCCGCGGGCCCAAGCCTCCTCCACCGGACAGAGGGGTGGCGGGTGCTGTGGCCCACGAAACCTTACGCTACAGATCGCATTTGTTAGTCTTCACGGGGCTCCGGGACTCTTCCTTGCCATTTGCTGCAAACACACACACAGACCCCCCCCCCCAACGTTACCCTCTCTCGAGCCACTGGGGGCCCCTCTCCCTACAAAGACACAAACACCCAAGGGGGGGGGTTTCCTAACCCTCCCTTAGCATTAGAGGAAGGGAAGACCACGTTCCTGAGGAGAAAGAGACATTTGAACGAAATATGCCTCTTTTTTTCTATAACAGGTTTCTACATTCAAAACATACACATCAAGAACGACAATGAAACAACCCCCCGGTCGCCCAAGAAAAACTCGTCTCCAACTGGCACGGATTTACCTTTTTATTGAACAACCAGAGTCCGCTCTTTTTGTTGTCATTTCCTCCCCCTTCCCGGTTGTCTAGCAAGAGTTGGCGGCCCAGCTTTTCTCCCCCCGCTCCTAGCGTGTCCATAATAAGCAGAAGATCTCCTGGTAGCCAGTCAGGTCTTCCGCGAGTCTCTCCCACCCCCGCCGCCGCCGCCGCCGCCCCCACGCCTTCCTTTCCGTTTGGTTCCTGCGAGCCATTGAAAAGAATGCGGAGAGATACCTGTTTGGGAGGAGGCTATGGGATGGAGTGGGGGAGAGAAAGAGAGTGGGGGAGAAAGAGGAGAGGGAAAGAGTTTCATTGGATTCCTCCCTCTCTCCCTCCCTCCCTCCCTCTCCCTGCTCTTTGCCACCCTTAAATCAAGGTGCGACGGGTGCCAAAGCGCGATGAAATGCAAAGAAAGCCAATTGCTGGCCCGAGGTGGGGGGAGATCGCTCCTCGGAGTCCTGCCTGCGACTCTGGAAGAGGCAGTAATTGCTGGAGACAGAGAGAGCTGGGGGGCTGGGCTGAGGTAGCCATGTATAAATAGTGTGATCTCCCCATTGAAAGGCATAAATAACAGCGGGAGGGATCTAAGCCCCGAGACAGCGCCCCGTCTCTGCTCTTCGACGTGGTCTTCCTCGCTGCTTGTCACGAGGAGGAGGATTTAAAACAAAACACGCGCACGCAACGCGCAACACCACCTTCAAGCAGCAGCAGCAGCAGCAGCAGCAGCCTGGACCGACGAGGCGGCCCCCTGGACCTCCTGAGTGCAGATCTCCACCCCACCAGCCCCACCACCACGACCCACGCCCAGATCCAGCCGCTGCAGCGCGGAGGACCTCTTCACTGTGGATCGCGAGCGTGCGCTTCTTCTCTCCCTCTCCCCCTCCCCCTCCCCAGCCACCGGGTCGCCATGGAAGAACTTACCGCGTTTGTCTCCAAATCTTTCGACCAGAAAAGCAAGGAGAGCAGCAGCGGAGGAGGAGGTGGTGGCGGCGGAGGTGGTGGTGGTGGAGGAGGCGGCGGTGGCGGTGGCGGCAGCAGCGGCGGAGGAGGCACCGGCCACAAGAAGGAGACTATCACGTACCGGGAAGTTTTGGAGAGTGGGCTGGCGCGCTCGCGGGAGCTGGGCGCCTCGGAAGCCGGCAGCCTGCAGGAGCTGGCCGAGAGCGGCGCGCACTGCCCGGTGCACCTCTTCAAGGAGCACGGAGACGGAGACAAGGACAAGCTCAAGGACTTCAACCACGCCAGCAGGACCTCGGAAGGTAAGGAGGGCACCGGACCCACCAGGCGAGGTGGTGCGTGGGGGTGTGGAGGGGGGCTCTGTCTCTCCACCTCCTCTCCCTGCCCCAGACACCGGCGCCGAAGGCCTCGAGGCTTTTTGGGTGGGGAGGAGCGGTTGGGCAGGGGGCGATCTAATAATAATAATAATAATAATAATAATAATACTCCACTTGTCTAGCAACAGCAGGAACGGCCGCTGGGATCGTGAAGCACTTCTGGAGTGGAAAGTAGAAGGAAAAGGGAGAGGAGGGAGAGAAACACCCAAACTTTCCCCTTAGCTTTTCTGGGAACAATAGGAGTGCGTGGAGATGGGGGGCGGGCGGGGAGGAAAAAGAAAGAAGCAGGTTTCGCATCGACGACCCGATTCGATCCGAAGCCCGGGTATCCTTTGCCCGGTTGCCTGCCTGTGTTGCTGCCCGAAGGAGCTTGTTCTGGAACGAGCCTCCAACGTCGTGGCTTCAATTATGGCTTCTTTTTTTGTTTCTTTTCTTGCATTAAAAAGAGGCGTGAGGGAAGCCAGCTCAGGGTAAACTGGTCAGAGGCCTGCGGGGAGGATCGAAGCAGAAAAGAAGGAAGGGAAGGACGGAAAAGCGCTTTAGGATTTTGTACCGAGCCCGTGTCGATAGTTTCTTCGGGTGTCCCTTCCTTCCTTCCTTCCTTCCTTCCTTCCTTCCTTCCTTCCTTCCTTCCTTCCTTTCCCCTGATGTGTAAGATAGCGTCCCTTCACCCCGGGCCACCAGGTCGATAGCTCTTCCTGTCCCGCTTCACTGTTGCCTATAGAAAGGAGCATTCTGAGGGTGAGGGAAAGTAAATTTTTAAGAAAGTTGATAAAACGTTTTTCGGCGATTTAAGACAGGTTTCCTCCAGGGCAGACGCGATGGATTTAAATGCAGCAATCCCTTAGGTGGGAGAAGGGAAAACTTTAAATTAAAATTCAGCTGGGCTGCTCAGTTATGTTAATCTCCCTTCCTTAAAATATGTTTTACTCCGCCATTCATTCTGCTCCTTCGCTTCGTAAAATAATAACGGTGTGTTGGATCGATAGTATTTAGGAGATTTGGGCCACTTGTACCATAAACAGAACAAAACGAAACGAAACAGCATTCTGTCCTTTATAGAAAAGCCCTATCACTCAAATCTGCTCGCTCCTTTAATATCAATGTTACATATTATTAATAATTCTTTTTTATGTTCTATTAGATTCGTTATAATCGGAAGGAGGGCTTAGACTCAGGGCTAAATAAATGAGAATTTAATTTCTGGGAAGCTTTAATAATTCCAATTTCATATATATATTAGAGAGAGAGAGAAGGGCCTAGATTTTTTAAAATAGTAAGGCGTGAAATCCTTTGAGTTTCCTGAAATGCTGTCAGTTCCAATGCACGGTTATTATTTTGGGAAACAATATACATATCTAATATTTTATATACATAGATACCCGTTTATTGAAAACGTGCTTCATTCTCAGCAGTCACCTGAACATGCAACTCTGAAATGTCATAAAATATATTGTAATCTCTCTCTCACTCACACACACACATCTCAAGTTTGTAATTGTTTTTCGGTTAAAAAAGAAAGTAATTCAAAAGGGTATCAACCTCAGGAAGAATCCATGGAGGAAGACTGGTTTCCAGCGGTACAACAAACATTACAAGCGAAAAATCATTACCATATTTGTGAATGGTTGGAACGCTGGAACGTTTCTCCATTAAAGGGAGTTGTAAGGGAGGCAACCCCTCGAACGTTCGTAGGGAGCAAAAAATGTAGTGATCGTGGGCCGGAAGTGAATTTCAGCGGAATCAGGGCAAGAGACTAATGGACAGTGTGTGTTGAGAGATCTTGCTCCTAGTGTCAAAAATCCGTTAGCTTCACACCTGTGTTTGGTAGCTGTTGTGCAAAACAAAACCCTGTAGGTAACCACAACACTGTATTTGAATTAAAAATTTCCCCTCTTAATTCAAGGCTGCTTCGTCGTATTTTTAAAAAGCCACGACAGTAAAAACCTCTGTGGCTGAGGATACATTTATATATAGTTTTATGTTCAATTTGAGGCTTGCCTGGGGATTCTTAGGCAATTCGGTGTGTCCCATCAGTTAAAATTATGCTTTAAACCAAATGCCCTGATTCTTAAACTTACTTTACTTGGAGGTAGATAATATTGTAAAGCCTTTCGATGTCAGAAGATTTGCATGTAAGAGGTAGTAGGCTGGAACACAACACTGCTCCCTTAAAGTCAAACCAAAACAACAGAACTGGACAGCAGAGGTTTAACCGTGTCACTCCTAATCCCAACCCACTTTTCTTTGGGAGGCCAGTGAGACTGGAATCGAGGGGATTTACTTCCAGGGAATGCGCCTGGAGACGGGCACGTCTGTGTAAACCAGCTGTCCGACAGCCTGCAGTCCTCCGTGTTGCCGTTGAACTTGCCAGTAAATAAGTTCCACGGAGAGGAATGGTGCCCTATTGGGCCCAGGAAGGCTTCCTTCCCTAGGGTGGGAAGGGGGTCCTTTGCATCTGGCTGGAGAGCGCTCACGCCGAGGTTATTGCTGGTAGTGTGACCTGAGCTCCCCAGGTAAAGGCGGCAAGAGGAAGTCCCTGCGCCAACCAGCGAATTTCCAATCCCTTTCAGAACAGGCGAGATGAAATTCTCTCTCCCCCGCCCTCTGCCCAGTCCCTCGTTACATCTTCACGCGCTCCTGTTCTTTGCAAACGTGACGTTTTGCTGCGGGAGTGACGTGTTGGCTCCTCAAAAGGCCAGCCGTGGCTGCGGGGCAGAGAGGGCGTCCAGGCCACGCTCTTTCTGCCACCCAGAGCGCACCGGGCCCAGGATGCTGCTGCTGCTGCTGCTGCAACAGAGGCGCTGTCTTTTCCTCTGGGTGCTTCCTTTCTTATCGATTTCTATCCCCAGGGAGGAATCTTCCCCCAAACGGACGGTACTTGAGGCTTGGTGGCTTTTATCAATACTATATTGGAAAGGCGATGGGTTATAAGAATATCGTCCTGTGCCATTTGTTTTTTAAGCACAGCCCACAAAAGGCAGCATTTAACCTGCTCTTGCCAAAGGTCACCCCGATTATGCCTCCCGAATCATTTCTAATGGTTACCTGGTCACAGGAAAGCTGGGTTCATCTCGTGTGTGTGTGTGTTCCCACATTCCTAAAGCCTCTCAGTTGGGGACTATGGATTCTAATATCCTTTGGATTTATTTTAAAGCGCGCGTAACGGAGCGAAACAAACATGCCGTTTTTCTGGTGCTTTTCTTATTGCTCAGTAGCTATTAGAGGGGGGAGGGTCCCCATGTCTTTAAAAAGCGTGTTTCCGATCCCCTTCCGCCATGTCTAGACTGCAAAATGAGGCCCCGATCCCCTCCCGCTGGAGGCGACTGGCCAGGAAGAGTGGACACGTCTCAGAGCCTTTCTCATCTGAAAGTGGCCATTTCCTCTTTACACTTGTTTCGCGTAAAATCTTTGCTACTCTTGGCTCGCGTGGGGTATTTGGATCTTTAACTTTCCTCGGGAGGCTTGTCAGTTCAGAAAACCTAGGCCACACTTCGTAGCCGCGACAACCTATTGCCACCGAGGTATGATCCTGCAGTCTTCAAAAATAAGATGATTAAGTTTGTATGCGCGGAGAGACGGGAGATGTCCCTTACAAGGGGCAGTTAGCAACCTTAGCTGGAGAATATGTGAGTCACGCAAGGTCTCTCTAAGGACCATCACCTGTTCTGCGCCCAAATAAATAAAGAATTTTCTCGCTGCAACAGAAGAAATGCAAGGAGACACAGAGAGAAAAATCTACCCTGGCTGCGTAGCAGTCAATTACATTTTTATCAGAGCAGGCTCACGGTGCGCTCTAACGAATATTTCACTCAACCCCCCAAATGTGTCATCTGAGCATATGGGACGATGCCAACTTTCGCTTGCCTTTCTTTTGGGGGCTCACAGGGCGACCGTCCTTCGCCTTGGCTGGGGAAACTATGTGCCCAATTCTCCCGCCTCGAGGGCTTTAAGGAGGAAATTAAGGAGGCTTCTATGATGCGCAACTTTGTTGTATTCATTTCCTCTTCCCTACCCCCATCCCCCCCCGGCAGGGATCTATGAGTGCAAAGACAAGCGGGAAGAGGTGAAATCCGAAGACGAGGACGGCCAGACCAAGCTGAAGCAGAGGAGGAGTCGAACCAATTTCACACTGGAGCAGCTGAACGAGCTGGAGAGGCTCTTCGACGAGACGCACTATCCGGACGCCTTCATGAGGGAGGAGCTGAGCCAGAGGCTGGGGCTGTCGGAAGCCAGGGTTCAGGTAAGGCAGCCTTAGAAGAAGACCAGAGTCCTCCTCCTCCTCCTGGCCTTGTTTCGGATCTCTGTCTACCCCATTAAAATCCCCTCCTTTTTGTCACGCGCAGCACCCAGACACGTGTGACGGAGGAAGGGGGCCAGCAGCCATGGGGGGAAATTCCAGCCACTGGCGCTGCTCTCGATTTCTCGCCCCTTTAGAATCTTCAGCAGACACGGAGCGCTCGAAACATCCCTGAGTGCCGCTCGCTAACAAATCAGAGGCCTGATTAGTAGCCCCAGCCAGGAACGAAAAACCTTTCCCTTTTCCCTTGAGGTTCTACTGCTCCTCTTTTTTTTTTTTTTTAACAGGGAGAGGGTGGGAGCAACTTCGGAGAACAATTGGTGTAGATCAAGCTAGGCTGGTTGGGTGCTCTGGGACTGGATTATCCAGAGCCGGGAGTGGGGTGGTGGGGGAGGGGGGGAAACGTGCCTCTATTTGACTTGCATAGCAAGGGTATGAATTCATGGTGCCCCATCTGCTCCGTTTGTCGATCCCCTGGAAAACAGAACGTCTCCCAATCCTCGAGGAGATGTTTGGGTTGCGGGGCCTGCCTGCTGGTCATGCGGCCAAGGCATATGCTCTATACAAGAACAGATTGTTGCCTTTAAAAATGCATTTATCTTTTATTTTTTTAAAGGCCTTTAGCCTTGCTCACTAGAGAGAGGGGGGGCTGGAAAAGAAGAAAATAGATATAATTAAAAAAGGGTGGTGCAGGTTGTGGCGATTGTCGCAGCATCGATCCCCCTCAAACAGAGGTTGTGCAAAAAGGAGGGAAGAAGGGGGTTGGGCTAGATGACCATTAAGGTCCCTTCCAACTCTACAATTCTATGATTCCATGGAAGTGATCAACCTGTAGCGTGGCTTTAGGGTCAAAGGCATGTGGGGAAGACCGAGCTCCAGCTGAGCTTTTATTCTGGCTGAACTCCCACAGCAACAAAAAACTATTTTAATGAACCACGCTTCCAGTTCCCCCAGTGTTTTTCCTCGGAGGTGATGGTGGGAGTCACACTAGGAAAGGGGAATCTCAGTCTAAATGCTTTAAGTCAGGGGTGGCTCGCCAGATGTTGACCCCGCCAGATGTTGCTGGACCAAATTTCCCATAATCCCTGACCACTTCCCAGGCTGGCTGGGACTTTGGGGGGTTAGAGCCCCACGACTCTAACAGAAGAGTTGGCAACCCCTACTTTTAGTATGAACGCCCCACTAATATTCGTGGGGTTGACTTCCACGTCCCGCGTTGAGCAGCATTTTTGTGCGCCTAGAACGCCTGCGTGTAATTCCTCTTTCCAGGGCAGGCCTGCCATTTAACTTTTGAAACATTTCTTTGTAGGCTGTTTCCCCCCTGAAACAGCTGGGAAAACTAGGCTCCTGAACAGTTCGGGTTTTAAATAAATACAACAATAAATGAAATATTCCCCAGGAACGGAATAGCGCTTACTGGTGTGCTCTTCTTGGAAAGGAGAGCTTACGAGGGGGAATACTGAGAGGGGGAGGGAGAGAGAAGTCGTGGCTCCCACCCCCCGCGCCGAAGATTGATCTAACCGCCCAAGATAAATGAATGAAAAGATTAAACTTTGGCTGAAGGGGACATCAACTTTTATGTCATCTTCCCAGCTCCTTCTAGGCGAGCCGGTATAATATCTTGCCAGAGCCTTGATGTAGCGTTTCTATAAAAATAAATTACTCGTAGTGTTTCTATAAAAATAAATTACTTGTAATTGAATTCCGCACTCTTTCTTTCAAGTAGTTTATTACCGGAGTGGCGCGGCACCTTAACAGGATATTCATAGTTACAGGAAAATTGGCGTTTCAAGTGCTTGCAGGTTTCATGAAATATTCCACCCTCTCACCTCCCCCTCCCCAGCAGCTCACTCTCTCTCTCTCATATTTCTGAAGGGGGAAACATCCTTCAGTCTCTCCCCACCCCCCCAAAATAAAGTCCAGAGAAAGCCGTTTTAGAGAGAACCCTTAATTAAAACATAATCAGGATTCGATCGGCTAAAAAGGACTCGGTCGGCATCTTATTAAAGGAGGAAGAGAAAAGGAAGGAGACCGAAGGGCGAAAGCAACAACAACCCAAAGATATTTTAATACTCTCCGAATTGCCTCCTAATCCCCGTCTGTAGCGCCTGTCCCTTGTTGTTAAAGGATCTAGTTTCAATTTAGTGTGGAAATGTGCTGTAAATAAATTGGAGCTCCTACGGTAGCTACTTCTTATTAACCTTTTATTTTTAGTGTTGTACCGGCAACTCATATCGCCCAGCTGTCAGGGTTATAATTGAAAGTTATGAGACCATAGTGAGGAGCAGGCAGTAATTCAATTACGAGCAAATATCTTCGGGTTTTTATGGCGCAAGGCTAAATTAAATGTCATTATTCACTGTCTCTAATGGAAATCAAAAGGAAATCAGATTAGAGCATTTGTGAAAGAAATCACTGAGTGATCCTTAATGAAGAAATAACTGTCTAAAACACTGTCCTGCGCTTTACTTAGCATATTCATGACTACTTGGAATTGATCGGGAATCACACCCGGGCTGATTTATGATGGCTGCGCGCGCGGGCTAATTCATCACTTTTATTCCTCATCACTTTCGCCTTTTTCCAAAGCAAAATAAAAAAATAAAAAATGGGAAGGGACGCGTTTCCTTGCCCAGCTGGGCACAGCGAGTCTTTTTAAGAAGTGCATTTCAGGCGCCACTGGTACGAGCCGGCAGCGTTTAACGCGGATTAGTCTACCACATCACACACCTCTCGCACGCTGCTCCTGACCGGGTGGTTAAAGCTGGGCAAAAGGACATTTTTGCCCCAGAATTTGCCACATATCTGCACCCGATGTGTGATTAAAAAATAAAAATAAAGTCTGCCTCCTTTAACAGGATAACAGACGACCAAACGACCCTTGGGGGTGGGGAAGGAACTCTCCGCGGAATTGGTATAAATTATATTATGACGAGTGGCGTAGAGATCGGAATTAGCACAGAGGCAGGTCATGGGAGTCATTCCAAAATCATTAATGCTGGATAAAGAGCTACACACACACACACACACACACACACGAGAGAGAGAGAGAGAGAGAGAGAGAGAAGGGGATATAGAATGAAGAATAAATAACATGAGGGGCATATTCATTTTTACTCATTGGTTAGTCAATACAGTACAGCCACCCTCTGTCCTCAGACAGGATAGCTGAAGGTTTTCTGTTTACAACTTTTAAATGCACATTTCCTTCCCCGGCTTAATTAAGCAGGATTATTTAAAACTCTGATTTAGGGTGAATTCATTATTATTATTATTATTCTGACATACCATAAAAAGATCCCCATTCTCAAGGTTTATATGAATGGTAGGTGGTTATATTAAGAAACTAATATTTTCGTTTCAAGTGGGGCGTTCACAGTGCTAACGGTCGGAACAAAAACTAGCTAGAACCCAAATATTTCGGCTGAATTTGACTAAAGCTGAAATTTCTCAGCACACCGGTGTTTCGCTGAAAGCAATGGCCCTTTCTCCCAAGGAAGGCGGAGAGATGGCGGGGGTTGATACTTCAAACGTTAGTCCGCTTGAAGTGGCTAAGTTTTCAGAGGTGTTCGAAAGAGTCTTAGAATTGTAAAATTGAAAGGGATCGCAAGGGCCATCTAGTACAACTCCCTGCAATGCAGGAATCGTTTGCCCAACGTGGGGCTCGACTGCAGCACCCTGAGATTAAGAGTCTCACGACTGAGCTAAGAATGCCCACGGCACCCGGTATTCCTAGGCAGTGGTCTCCCATCGAAGTACTAACCAGGCCTGACCCTGCTTAGCTTCGGAGATCCCACGAGACTGGGCGTGTTGAGGGTCGTACGGCCATCTATCTATACCAAAAGGCTGGGTTGCGTGTTGCACTCTTCACAGAACCAGGAAATCCAAGGGATCAGGACATTAAAATGGAAAGGGGACATTTCCACTGGTAAAGAAAGCTCCCTTTCAAAAAGTTCAGGGATCGCTCAGAAATTGAGCAAACTCCCCCCCCCTTCCCCCATCTTTTAATTTGAGACATCACCTAGTAGAGACCCGGATCAGGGAGGGGGAGGCGACGCCACTAGCGCACGTGTGAAGGCGGCCAATTCCTGTTGAAGAAACCCATTCCAGTACCCCTGGATAATTAATGTCTTTGGAAGCCTTTCTTTGCACTAATTACTCCGTTGTAAATGGCCATCATTAAGGCAATTGAAGAAAGCTCGGAGGCGAAATGTGATGTAGGAAGTGCAGTTAGTATTAATTAACCGTATGATCAACTTGGCAAGCTGAGGAACTTGGAGGGGGGGCGGGGCGAATGGGAGCGATGTTTGCTTAACTCCCAGATTTGATCTGTCTCAGCAGACAGAGGCTGACTAAAGTTTGATTTAGTAAGAGGAGGGGGGTGGAGACGCTGAGCATTTGACGGTAGACGTAATCCTTTAAACATATTTGTAAAAAATCATCTCCTTCTCCTCTCATGGGAGAAGGCTCCCATGCTGTTTCGTACGCCAGAGAGATCTAAGGACACCCCCCCGCCTCAATTTATAATACACGGGAATTTCCGGAATTAGGGGAGGATTACTAGGATGGCAATTTTTTTTATGAAAGAAAAAGAATAAAATCTGATGGCAGAATTAGAAATAATTCCTTCCACCCAAATTTGGAAGTGTTTGATTGTCGGTGGAAGTCAAGCCTATTAAAAAGTCAATCGTGGCTCTGAAAAACGGATTTATGGTGGGATCCATAACCCAGTCGAAAGACAAATGGGAAGGGGTAATTGAAATCTGTTGGATTAACCCCCTTTGAAAAATCCTTCTGGATGATTTGTGTGGAATTAATTGATTTCCCCATAAACGGAATTTGTATTGGAAGTTGAACTGACTTTCAAGGGAGGGTTTGGGGGTCGTGGCTGTGTAGGGCGGTCCTGAGCATCGTTTACTCGAAAGTAAGCCCGCGGAATTCAACGAAATGCTGTGCCTTGCCTGTAACGAAACAGGCTCATGCCACAATATACTTTTTAATCTTCAAGGAAACTTTACTGGTTTCGCTACTTTTTTAGAACTGCTTTCAGTCAAGTTCTTCTAGGATCGCAACCTTAATCGCTGGCAGCCTCTTTTGTTGCATGGTTGCTCGGGAGTAAATCCCAAGTAAATGAAGAGTCCCTCCACTGAACCGTGATGGGACTTTCTTCCGAGTAATCAGTGTTTGGGTGTGGATCCATGGCTGGCCATTTAAGTGGGCAATTCCAAAGTCATCATGGAAGCATAAGACAAAGCCCTGATAAACCCTGGCAGAAATTCGGGAATAAAAGGGTTTAGCTGAAACTCACCTATTTTTCCTTAAATAGGGGAAAAAAGCGATGCCGCACGAGTCGACATAGGGGGAAACCCACTAAAACTGGTCCTTCTTTATGTATATGCGTTCAAAATTAACCTCGAGGAAATGCCACTGTCTGGCACACAGGGGGAAAGGAGGCCACATTCAGCCAAATTGGAGGAACGCTGGACGTGAGAGAGCAAAGGGTGTGTGTGTGGATGTATGAGAGATGGATGCGAAGTGTAAATCGGCACTTGGTACTCGACAATTTTGGGTGTGGGTGTGCGGCAATCTGTCACATTTATGTCTCATTCTTTAGTGTGTGAGCCGATAACCTCTTCCCCACGGGGAAATCTCCCTTAGCAGCCTGCCAGCCGAAACCTATACTTGCTCTCTCAGCAGTAAACCCCATTGACTTCCATGGGGCACGCTCCAAGGTCGGTGTGGGCATTGGATTGCGGCTTGGCTCTCTGTTCCTGAACGCCATCTGCCTGTTTTCCTGATTTCGAATAGGAGATGCCAACAAGAGGCTCTTTTCGCTTCCCTCCCCCGGTTTAAAAGCTAGGCAAGTCTTTGTTGCTGGACTGAACAGTTTCTTTCTTTGGATAGCCTCGGAGGCATTTTGTTCATCTGCTAGTTCGACATAATGATTTGCCCCCTTTTAATAGTCCGCCTTTCCCGGTGAAAGGGAGCACAAGGCGGCTGACAACATAAAAAGCATTACAAACACACACTTTTAGGGAGGAGAATAGTGCCCCCTCCCATTTCAGACCGCATTTGCTTGTTCTTCGGGAGTCCTCTCTATTTCTGACCGGGTCCCTCAAGAGTGACTGCTGTTCTCAATCTAAACCTTTAGATCGGAACATATTCTTTGGTTTAAAGAAGTGCGCGCGCGGACCTGTATCATTCACGTTATATTTATGGGATGCTGAACTACACGCATAGCTCTTAAAATACATTGACTTGTTTGCGGTCTAAGCCTTGCAAAATTCCTCCCTTACTGGGGGGGGTGTGTGTGTGTGTCCAAATTGTCCCTCCTCCTGACTGATATCCGAAGTGCTATAAACTGAGCAGTTGTGCAAGCTTCGTTGTCGCGCCGAGGCGCTCAATTTGTGCCCCGGCTGTCGCACTTTAAGCCTGTAGGTGAGGGCTCATAAGCTTGACCGGTTCTCCATACAGTCTAGTGGTCTCTGGGAGCGGAACTTTGGGATATTTCATAGCTGTGTCTAGCGCCCCCACAGGCCAATCCATGTATTGCATCTTATACCTTCGAAGGGTTGCTGCCCTTGGCGCTCCGCTGCGCCACACTGGCAGCCCCTTCCTCTGAATCCCTTGAGATGGAGGAAGCAAAGTCTCCTTTTGACCAGGACTTTAAAAAAAAAAGAAGGAAAAAGAGAGAGTACGTATGCGCGAGGAAGGAGCGGCTACACCCCCGCATCAACTTCGCGCTGCTTTGCGAATTTGGATTCGCAACCTTAGGAGGGAGGTCGCTCCTGGCTTGACTGCTCCTCTTAAAAGCGCTTGTTTGCTTGACTTTGACATCAGCCATGCTTGGGACGATCAAGATGCAAACTCTGCATTTTACAACAGGGGACGACTTTCTCCAAGCTGCGCATTGTTCGGTTGGTGGTTTTTTTTAGCAGAAGTGCGAATGAATCCCATTACCATTCTTGTCCGATTCTCCGTTCGCACTCGGATCTCACCTGCTCTATTTGCAAGTGAAACTCGTCTCATCACTTGCAGCCCACATTTTCTGATCTGGTGGCTACTTTATGCTTTGTAATAGTAATAAGAATAATACAGAAAGTCACTGTTCTCAGGTCATTTGTATTTTTTTTTTAAAACTGAACTATGTGTGTGTGTGTGTGTGCACAATCAACAAAAACCTCTAAGAGGTTTACACAGCCCCCCATTCTAGTGCACAACTGTGGCAACCCCTACCAGTGTGGACGTCAGGATTGCTTCTCATTCCAACAGCGGGAAAGAAAATGCTGCATTTATACCATTTTAGTGGTATATAGCACAGGCTATATAGGACGGGAGGGGGAACGCTTTCCTATTTTCTTATTTCGAAACACCTCGGGCTGCAATCCTATACACGCTTACCCGACAGGAAGAGCCATTGAACCCAACGGGATTTACTTCTGACACGTATAAGGATCACGATGTGAGTCTCTTGAAACCTGCTTACCAATACCACGACCCTTGTCTTAAAAGGGCCTTTGACTAGTTCTGCTGTTTTGCGTGATGTATACTGTTACCTGTATGCCAAATAAACAAGCATTTCTCAGAGAGAAAGCCACCAGACGAGCAGAGCAGAGGAAAGAGAGAAGTTTCAGTAGCGTGCATAACAAAACTGCCACTTTGATTTTGGAAGAAGGCGGGGGGAAGCGAAGTATAAGGTCTTCATCTTTCCTTTGCCTCCCTGAGACTGTGGAACACGGGCTGAGATAGCTTCTGTCCTCTGACATTCGGACTCTATACTTTCGTGTGTTCTGAATATCCTCAAAAGCTTGTCCTTCTGTGGGTGGGTAGGAACTTACCTGTTTCTAGATTGCTGGTCCCGTGAAAATCAATAAAACGTATCAACCAAAATAAAACTCCTTTAACGTACGAGCAATCAAAATGACACAAAACAGGGAGCAAGCTTCCGAGCCCAACAGGATTCTTCATCAGACTGAATATTAAGCAAGGGCGTGTGTGGGTAAGGGGAAAAAATGTCTGTATTGGTCAAAAAAGTTCGTTTTTATAAGCACGGGTGGCTGCCAGACGCTTCAGAACTGATGGTGACAAACCTCTCTCCTCCCCTCATTTTCTTTGATTGCAGGTTTGGTTCCAGAACCGAAGAGCCAAATGCCGGAAACAGGAGAACCAGATGCATAAAGGTGAGTTCGAGCTGGAAAGTGCTTGGGTGGGCTGGAGGAGGGGAGGGGGTTGGCGAGCGCTATCCGGACCTCCGAGGTTCCTTCCTCACCAAGACACGTGTCTCTCTCTCTCCCCCCCCCCCCCGCTTTGCAGGTGTGATCTTGGGGACGGCCAGCCACTTAGACGCCTGCCGAGTGGCCCCTTACGTCAACATGGGCGCCCTGAGGATGCCTTTCCAGCAGGTAGCTCGTTTTGATTCCTTTTGACCCGTTTCTCTCCCTGTACGTCCGAGGCGAATCGAGGTTCGGGAGGGGAGGGGCGCTGCAGAAAAAGGACACGCCTCTTCCGCGCGGGCTGTCAGACGGAAGGGGGCGGCGCTTATACGCCTCTCGCTGGGCAGGAGGCGTGGCTGGAGCGCAGATCCGTCAGGAAGCCACGCCCCTGGCGTTCGGGCGTTTTCCAAGCCTGGGATGAATCAGTGGCGAAGGAGTGCAGTCTGCGCGCCCTCAGAGGCGCCCTTGTCGACAAGCATCCCCAGGTTTGGAACGAGGACTTGCTCACTGTGGCTTCCAAGTCTGGCTGCAATCCTGTTCACGCTCAATGTGGGAGTAAGCGCCACTGAAACCAGTAGGACTTATTTCTGAGTGAACACTGTGTAGGATAGTACTGTCATGTGGAGTGTTGCATCATTTGGAAAAACAAAATTTCCGGCTACTTCTACTCATCCTCTTGGAAAGATGAGTACAGTGGTACCTCGGGTTACAGACGCTTCAGGTTACAGACTCCGCTAACCCAGAAATAGTGCTTCAGGTTAAGAACTTTGCTTAAGGATGAGAACAGAAATTGTGGTCTGGCAGCACGGCGGCAGCAGAAGGCCCCATTAGCTAAAGTGGTGCTTCAGGTTAAGAACAGTTTCAGGTTAAGAACAGACCTCCGGAATGAATTAAATACATAACCAGAGGTACCACTGTAGTTGATTTGCCTCAGCTATTGTTAGTAGAAACCAAACACATTAATAATCTCTGTACTGAACCACTTAAATTTCTGCCTTTCAAGTAGTCTTTAAAGGCACAACAGTTCTTACCTGTGGCGAGAAAAATATTGAATGCAGAGGGGAAGAAAATAAATCCAGGTAATTGTAGCTTCACTCCCCCAAATACCTAAATGTAGAATTCCATTATTTTTGTTCCTCTCTCCTAAGTAGTCGTCCTAAAGCACACCTGCATTGCAGTCCTAGAAATGTTCACTCAGAAGTAAATCATGTTGCTTTTAATGGGGACATCGTTCTTGGTAAGTGTATACATGATCATAGCTTGATCTGTATTTTGATTAAGGGACAGGTGGATCCACACCATACATTTAAAACACATTCAACACACTTATTCCCCCTCTGCACCCCCCGAATCCTGGGAACTGTCGCTCATTCCTCACAGAGCTACAGTTCCCATTACCCGAAGCAAGCTACTTTTCACTGAGATTGGGGAAAGCCATGTGCTACAAATGCATGGTGTGGATTCAACATTCCTGTGAAGTAGGTTAGGCTGAGAAACTGCTCTTTGTTCAAAGCTAATCTTTATCAAAGCAACAGAGAAAATACTGTAGCGCAAGCATGTTTCAGGACTCACACAATGAAACCACCTCCCAAACTTGCATGGCCATGAAGAAGTCTGTTTCTCAGGCTCAGCCATCTTCTGATATGGGCAATAATAGAGACCTACCTTATTAGATTGATTTAAGTAATGAGTACTGAATGATGCATTCTCTGCCCTTAAATTCGCGGTAAACCTGCTACTTGCAAGGGGATTTGATCCTCCAGTCATTATGTCGCACTAGCACTGTATGGAACACAAAAACCATGCTTTGCTCACTCTTTTTGCCCCATTAGTCTTCATAACTGGGAACTGAAAGTAGTCTCACACACAAGCCATAGAGAAAAGTCAGTAAGCAGCAGAGATGCCTCAGCTTCCTTCTATTTACATCCTCCTATGTAATTAAGTACCCCTGTGATTCTCAGGCTTCTGGAAAGGTCCCATTTAGTTCAATCAGGGTTTCAGAAAAGTGGGGCCTAGCTAGTTGATTTCTTCTGCAGCAGCGTTTATCTTTTGCAGAACTAGAGCAACGTTGCCCTTGGTGATTTCACACGTGAGGCTTAAATCAGGGTGGTCCAAGGAGAAGAAATCAAGACACATTTGGTTTCTGTTTTGAATTAGATCCTGCGTTGTTAACAGATTTAAGAAGGACACCAAGAGTTGTCAGCTTCTCACTCCCGAATGCTTGTGCCGTTTAACAGGGCCTTGTTCTGCAGCAAAGCAGCAGTGGTGGTGACTGTTTATCTCCATGTTGTGAAGCGCTTCATCTTCTAATTTGCTGTAGATCCAGCTGCTGCTAAAAAGGCACACCTAGAAGAGCTGGGTGGAAATTTGGGGTGTGGGGTTGTGGTGGTCACGTGTGAAAATTCCTCTTTAAGAGGTTGTAACCTCGCATTGCCTCAAAGCTACTTGTGTGGACTATCTTACTTTTTTGAAAGTCACCCAGAAATGCTGCCATTCAGACCAGTCTAGTGAATGTCTCCAATGCAAATGATAAGGAAAAAAAAGTAACAACCCCAAAACACTTATTTAGCGAGGCAGGATGTGAGGGGTGGGCAGGCAGTCGGGTCCTTGTTTCAGCCCACCCCCCCACGTGTCAGTGGGGCTTGGGTACTTCTCAGGCTAGAAATGTGTCAGAAACAACCTCTGTCAAGGAAACTGGTCGATTCCCTGCAAAAGCACCCTAGTCACTGAGACACAGAGAAATAGAACTTGTTCCACTTTGTTTCCTTAAAAAACACAGGCAGGAGGAAGAAAATATTGGGGAGATCATTCTTTACCTTTCTTTGCCTCCCACTGGCTGCCCGAATATGTGAAACCTTTGCTACTTTTTCAATTTCACCTTCATTAGCTTGAGGGTGAAACTGACTTAGAAAAACAGCTCCATTTATTTTCGAAGTTAGACGTGTTAAGGGGAACTATGGCGTGAATAAGATGGCCATAGTTTTTGATGGATTTCTCCCACCCAAGGACAAGGGAGGAAGAGGAGAAAATAAGCAAGCCTGCAGACAAGGCCACATGGCAGGAGGCTTGTGGATGAGTAGCCAGCTCAGGAAGATCCAAAGCCTTTCTCTTGACTTTTCTCTTCCCTCTCTTAAATGTATCTTACCCTTTTATATACAGAGATGTCTGTCCAGGCAGTAAAAGCCTCCACACTTCCGGGCAGTGGGAGTGGGAAGGCGTGGAGACTATTGACAAGCACTTGGCTCTTCTTGCTCAGTTTTATTCAAATGTTTGAATAGCCACCTTCTCTCTCATACAGGTTGTCAAAGAGATTAAATTTAATCACACACACATACAACAAATCTTCTCCTATTCACCTAAACCCTCTCAGGCCTTGATAAGTGTCTAGTCCCTATCCCTTATGTTTCAGACGGCCACAAATAAATATGCTTTAAAATAGCCATAAGTGTCCCTGAACCGTTGTTAAGTATTCTTAGAAAGTGGTCAAAAATAAAGAGATGAAGGGGATGTGATTCTGTTCACAGACTGATCCTGTATACCTGGCATGCCTTACATGTGGTGTAATAGTTAGAGTGTTGGAGTAGGACTTGGGAGATCAGCGTTCGAATCCCCACTCAGCTATGTAGCTCCCTGGGTGACTCACCACCTTTTAGCCTCACCCTACATCACAGGGTTGTTGGGAGGATAAAATGGGGAGGAGGAGAACACTACCTTGAGATCCTTGGATGATAAAGGTGGTATATAAATGTAAATAATGATAATGATAATGATAATAGAATTGGATCAGGCTAGCAACAGAGCCAAATTTCCCCATTCCACCCCGCCCTATACTTTAACAAAAAATCCAACAGCTTCAAAGCTAAAAAGCTATACTCAGGAAAAACTATTTATAGCCATCTTAAAACAAATTTTACAAGAGGACTTATAAACCTTATAAACAAAGACCGGAGAAGTTATCTGGCACCTTGGGGCCATAACTCTGCATCAGATCTGGCAGCACGTGTTCCTGTTGAAAGTCCAGTGGTGTTTAGGACCAGTTCAAACTCACTTTTGCAGCTACAGTGGTGCCTCGCAAGACGAAATTAATCCGTTCCGCGAGAGTCTTCGTCTAGCGGTTTTTTCGTCTTGCGAAGCAAGCCCATTGACGGATTAGCGCTATTAGCGCTATTAGCGGTTTAGCGGCTATTAAAGGCTTAAAGGCTTAGGGGATTAGCTGCTAAAAGGCTATTAAAGGCTATTAAAGGCTTAGCAGATTAGATAAAGGGGGGGGAAAGCGGAAAAAAAAATCTCAGGACTCGCAAGGTATTTTCGTCTTGCGAAGCAAGCCCATAGGGGAATTCGTCCTGCGAAGCAACTTCAAAACGGAAAACCCTTTCGTCTAGCGGTTTTTCCGTCTTGCGAGGCATTCGTCTTGCGGGGCACCACTGTATTTAATTACACCGTCACCTTTTTAACGTTATTATTGTTATTACTATTCAAAAGTCCTTCATTTGCTGGACGTGTGCCACAAGGACTTTAGCAGTAACTGCAGTAACTGCAAATGTGTGTGGCTGCACTTTCTCTCCTGCACACCCTTGTGGGTATGGTTCTCCTTTTTTAGTTCCTCGAAGAAGGAAAAAATGTCTGTGTGACCTCCCAGGAAGCATTAATATTGCTTGATAAAAAACACCATGGGGTAGGGCCTTACATTATAATATCAGACCACAAGTGAGGATCTGAAACAAAATGTGCAGGTTTTACCAGAGTCTGTGGCTAAGGGGGTTGAAAAATTTGAGTTAGCAGAAAAGATAGGTGTCCCCTGCTCATAGCTGTCAACTTTTCCCTTTTCTTTCGAGGAATCCTATTTGGAATAAGGGAATTTCCCTTAAAAAAGAGAAAAGTTGACAGCTATGCCCCTGCTATAACACAGGTCTTACTTCATGCCCACTTTTTATTTGAAAAAACACACACCAGTCTGCATGCAAGCCAATTGAACACAAGGCTTTTCTTGCAAACGAGTGCTTGGTGTGGCCTGGGAGGAGGTTTGAGAAGGCCATTCATATAGCTCTACATCTGGCCTGATATATAACAGTGGCCTACGTTGCATGGCTGCTGTAAGTTGCTCTTTCTCAGCACAGCCCTCCAATCTGCAACTGGGGAAAAAAAGTGAACTATATCCTGCTCTCTCAGTTCTACCTGCAGTGTGGGAATAAAAAAATAAAGGAATGCAGGGTTCTGCAAACTCAGCTTCTGCTGATCTCCAATGTGCAATAGGGGTCTAATACCGCTGGACAACACTGCGGGGGTGCTGCAAAGTGCCCAGAGCCTGATATGCAGTATTCAGGGTGCACTACGCTGTGGGTTAAACCACAGAGCCTAGGGCTTGCCGATCAGACTGTCAGTGGTTCGAATCCCCGCGATGGGGTGAGCTCCCATTGCTTGGTCCCTGCTCCTGCCAACCTAGCAGTTTGAAAGCACGTCAAAGTGCAAGTAGATAAATAGGTACCACTCTGGCGGGAAGGTAAACGGCGTTTCCGTGTGCTGCTCTGGTTTGCCAGAAGTGGCTTAGTCATGCTGGCCACATGACCCGGAAGCTGTACACCGGCTCCCTCGGCCAATAAAGCGAGATGAGCGCCACAACCCTAGAGTCATCCGCGACTGGACCTAATGGTCAGGGGCCCCTTTACCTTTTTTACACTGCCATTAAGTTGTTCTCTCCCAGCCAAGGGGAAGCTTGAATAGGTATCCCTATGTAGAGGAACCATGCTATAGAAAAGGAAAGAGTTTGTGTGTCTGGAAGATCTGGAAAAGGGGAACTCTGCAGTTCTAAGTCTATAGCAGTAAAATAATGAGTGGAATATGGCAATTAAACAAGCAAAGGAACATTGGTAAAGGATTGATCACCATGTACAAAGAGTGGCACTGTGCAACAGTAGATTAAAATGCTGAGACATAAGAAGAAAGTGCTCATGGTTATTTGGGTCTGGACCTTAAGTGGTTTCTGATATGATATGCTGACATCAAAGTGAGAACATCTCTCTGTTGTTGCAGATGACAGTGGTTAGAAGCAAAAACAACATTGTGATATCCTGTCGACTTTATTGTGGTATTAGCTTACAGACCTTTTAACCACCTAGCCCAGTTTACCAGGAACCCACATCTGCCTGTTACAGAAAGCCATTCTATTCCTACAGGCTGCAGACCTCTCCTGGTGTATGTCCCCTTGAAAACCCGGCCTATTTACAGATGCACAGAATGACACTCATTTGTTTACCCTCATGGAAGCTCCTTTACTCATTGTCCCTTTTGCCTCTGTGTCCTTCTTTTGCTCTCTCAGGTCCAAGCTCAGCTGCAGCTGGAAGGCGTCACCCATGCCCACCCTCACCTCCACCCTCACCTGGCTGCACACGCCCCTTATCTGATGTTCCCCCCGCCCCCTTTTGGACTTCCCATTGCCTCCTTGGCAGATTCCGCCTCTGCGGCCGCAGTAGTAGCAGCGGCCGCGAAGAGCAACAGCAAGAATTCCAGCATCGCTGACTTGAGGCTCAAGGCTCGGAAACACGCCGAGGCCCTGGGGCTCTGACATTTCCTCCCCAGAAGCCATTTTGTTGCCAGGGATGGACAATAGTATCTTTCCTCTATCCAGTCTCCGAGCTTGGCTGCGATAAGGACAACTGGTACCTTTTGAAAGGCCCACAAGTACTTGTAGACAGGCTCAGCGCTGGCCTGTTCTTTCTTTCCTCCCTTTCTCATCCTCTCCTTTTATTTTGTTCAAAGACTTCAGCAACTTGTTCAGTTGATCTGAGGACTGAAGGACCTGCTGGCCTATTTTCTGTTTTAAATTTTTATTTCAAAAAGCACTTAGTGCTAATGATTGCAGTTAAACTGTTCTTCAGCCACCAGATGCATAAATACTAGGTTTGAAATCAGTCTGGATCTCAGTTATAAGTGTCAGTTTTGGAAAAAAACAATTGAGAAAACTTTGGAGGAAAGTAGATTTTTTGGGGGGCGGGGAACAGAACCCTCCAATCACGTGGCATCCATGAATCTTGGGACAAATGGAAGTGGACCCTGGCCAAACTGAAGATGATCATGTCAGCCCAACACCATTTGCTGCTGCCAGTTTTGCTACGTCGTGCATGTGCCTAACTTTAAACAATGTTTGAAAATCGCCAAGTATACTGAAACAAAAATGAAACAGAAAAAAAAAGGAAAAAGCTTAACAACATCGTGGGGCTGGTCTCCATTAAGATGACATTTCTTCTTTGTTGCCAACGGTATTATTTCAATCTCATGAATCTTCCATCGCTATGGAGCTGCTGCTGCTGCAGAACTGGTTTGAATTTAAACGTGGAATTTCAGATCTGAGACAAGGCAGTGTTTTCTAAACAAAGCAGCAATAACACAATGGGGTGTCCAAATGACTACATCCTTCACAAGGAACAACAAGAACAACAACAACTGAGTGTGCGTGTGAGAAAGAGAGACACCCAAATTAGTTGGTGATCCAAATGACGGGAACAATGATGAACACATCTGTTTTACTGAGAACCACCTGAACATGCTGAAATGCTTGTACTATGTGAACAGGTTTACTTCACCGTTTTTATTTCCAGATGTCTGGATCTCTGCGGAAGGCCTGCTTGGTTTACAGGATCTAGAGGGGTTGATTCATCTGTCAAAGATGGACACAGTTTTTTTAAAAAAGCATAATACTGATGCAGCGTTAATTTTAGTGAAATGCAATTAAGTGCAGTAAAGTGCAATACTGTAAATATTATAGATTAAAAGGGGGGGCGGGCGGGGAAATAGCCGCACATTCTTTTTCTGTTAAAAACCAACTCTGCAGGAACTGTAACCTGGTCCTTTGTGTTCAGACCTGGGAATTGCCATTTGTTGCCAAAATGATAAAGTCTGGGCCTTCTACAGATTGGGAAAGAAATATGAATTGCATATATAAAAGAGAACCACCATGATTATGAATCCAGTTCATGTGCCATATTTCTGGGAACTAAGCTCAAATGCTTGTATTAATTATTATAACTATAATTTTATTTTTATTTGGCAATTGTTTTAAAGTAAGGAAACAACAACCAAGTCAATGTCATGTAGAGGTGGACAAGTTCAGTGGGGTTTTTTTGGGGGTGGGTGGGGAAATTGAAGCCAATTTTATACACCAAATGCAAGCTCATTGGAGCTTATCAGCTAGTATGAGCTGCTACTACGACTCATAGAAATTGAGGAGAACTCCTTGAAATTATATTACCAAAGTGTCTAAGTTTATTATACCCACATTGCTCACTTACATGTAAATTCCTTTCAACCAATTTATTAACTGGTGCTTCTTCTGGAAACAAATACTGCTCTTGTCTACTTCTAAATCTGTTTTTGCATATGATATCCAAGTCTCATTGATGGAATCTTTGCATCTCAACAACATAAAATCATTAAGTCTGTTCCATTGACCTTCCAGTGTATTTCTTTTTTGAAGCAACCCATTAATAGTTTGGGAGGTTTTTATTGATATCCTCCCCCACCCCAGCGAAGTGTGCGTAAGACAGAATGCATTGTATTTCTTAAAAAGTCAATATTTTCATCTCTATCGCTCTCTCCCTCTCCCTCGCTCTCTCTTTTCTAACCAGCATGCAATCTCGTTGTCGGGATGGTTCTCTTTTCTCAGTTTATTTATTCTTCGCAAAACAATTATATTTTGGACAAGTTTCACAGTTGAAACATTTTGGCCGACTTTCCTACCTCTTTGTGAAAGCCCAAGTACCTCTTTATGTCAAGGGTATGGTGGAAACCTGAAATTAAAAATAGCTGCAGCAGCCCTGCACACCAATGTATGCATAATCACATCAGGCATAGGCAAAGTCAGCCCTTCAGCTGTTTTGGGACTACAACTCCCATCATCCCTGACCACTGGTCCTGTTAGCTAGGGATGATGGGAGCTGTAGTCCCAAAACATCTGGAGGGCCAAGCTTGCCTCTGCCTGAATCACGTGGAAGGAAGTGTGTTTATGTCAACACACTACAATCTGAACACTAGTTTTATAGAGGCTATCCTACAACTGTGAATTGTACTCTTGTAAAGCTTTAGTGAAAACTCTCTGACATCTTGAGTGCCCTGAAAAAACTAAAATTCCCAGGGCGCCTTGGAGAACAGTGATAATGGTTAAACTGGATTTATGTTGGTAGTGTGGATCTGGCCTCAAATGAGGGTAGCTCTATGCTACAGCCAAAGGGTGCAATCTGTGAGCGATGTGCTGTGTGGAAATCCCACTGAATGAAACCAATAGGAGGGAGGGACAATTGTGCTGTGTGCTCCTGAGCTAGGGAAAAACTAGCTAGAAAGTGGTTTATGAAGCTGTAAAGGTAAAGGTAAAGGGACCCCTGACCATTAGGTCCAGTCGTGACCGACTCTGGGGTTGTGGCGCTCATCTCGCTTTACTGGCTGAGGGAGCCGGCATACAGCTTCCGGGTCATGTGGCCAGCATGACTAAGCCGCTTCTGCCGAACCAGAGCAGCGTACGGAAACGCCGTTTACCTTCCCGCCGGAGCGGTACCTATTTATCTACCTGCACTTTGACGTGCTTTCGAACTGCTAGGTTGGCAATCGTCTGAGCTATTATGACTTGTCTCATGCGCAAAGTTGGATATGACAGATCTGTTCTGCTTGACTTGAAATCTGATCCCCCCTCAACAAGACTAAATAAAGTCTATGTGATACAATGCTTATTTAAAATGTACACTATCTATGACAGGGATACTTGTTTTCAGAAGGAGGCACCCATCTCTCACACCCTGAGCATGCCTTTTTCAGTAGAAATGCATTTGACCTTGATTATATGTTTGATGGCCAGGAATGGGGAATTTGGAGTCCTCTGGATATTTCTGGACTACAGCTCCTTCCTTCCATCCCGGACCTGATCAAAGACCATGCTGTTTGGAATTTGGAATCCAACAGCATCTGGAGGGCAACAGGTTCCCCAACCTGCCATGGACTAACAGGATGTTCAGATGGCCATATTTAATGGGACTCATTTGGCATTTGAAAATGGGGCTCAGTGGGGAGATTTTTCAAAGCACAGAAGGCACTAACGAAAATTGGCGGGAGTAGTGTTGACCTGCCATTTTGTGCCTTTGAAATTTCTTAACAGCAGCATTTCCCAAACTTGGGTCTCTAGATGTTTTTGGACTACAATTCACATCATCCCTAGCTAGCAGGACCCATGGTCAGGGATGATGGGAGTTGTAATCCAACAACAGATGGAGACCCAAGTTTGGGAAATCTGCTTTATAAATAAGGCCTGCATTTTAACAGGTGAAGTTTATTGTTGCCCTTGTTCCTAGTAGCTGCATCTCCTGATGCATCAATGAACTTACTATAACACAGTTTCTTTTCTATTTGGTAAACCTTATATTCTCTTACACTTGGGGATCTGTACTGTGACACACCCACCCACACACCACCCACACCTGTTCCAGATAATCTGTTTCGTGCAGTTTAACATTCCTGTACACTTTGTATTGAACATGGCTGGAGACAGTGTATTGCATTAAGTGTGAGGTTATATTTTTTACTAGGGACGCGGGTGGCACTGTGGGTTAAACCACAGAGCCTAGGACTTGCTGATCAGAAGGTTGGCGGTTCGAATCCCCACGATGGGGTGAGCTCCCGTTGCTCGGTCCCTGCTTCTGCCAACCTAGCAGTTCAAAAGCACATCAAAGTGCAAGTAGATAAATAGGTACTGCTCCGGCGGGAAGGTAAACGGCGTTTCTGTGTGCTGCTCTGGTTCGCCAGAAGCGGCTTAGTCATGCTGGCCACATGACCCGGAAGCTGTACGCCGGCTCCCTCAGCCAATAAAGTGAGATGAGCACCGCAACCCCAGAGTTGGTCACGACTGGACCTAATGGTCAGGGGTCCCTTTACCTTTACCTATATTTATTACTAAAACTAGACTGGGCCAGTAGTAACCCTCTGTCCAGAAGATAAAGGGTTGATTTACACGCCGATCATACACAATGAAACTTCACATTATGGCGACAATCTGGTGCACACAAGTCCCATTGACCATAAATGACCTTATGTGCATATAACTTTGTACTGAACTCTCATTTTGTTTAGGATCAGACTGCAGAACTACTATCCGTACTCTTCAGAAAGGGATGTTTCACATGAAATATTTTTTCAACTTGGAACTAACTTCAGTTGAGGAATATATATATATATATATATATATATATATATATATATATATATATATATATATGCTATCATATATAAAGTGGGTTATTTATGCTTATTTTGCCACAAGTGCACATACCACTTTCCAATCCATGTGCTTGTGATGCAATACACACTCTCACATCACCTCATATTTGGTGGTATATGTGTTGCCTGCTAACACAGAGGACACCTCAGTGTTGGAAAAAATGGCACATCTCAAATGGCTCTTGGTTATTTCAACAGATGGTCTGGAGAGATTTCTTTTTTCTTCCAGGGAAGAGGTAAACATCTTGTATCAACTGTCATAGATGCTGATTAAGAAAGATGCACTTCTGAAGAATGAATGGGATAGAA